ACCCTAAGCCCAAACCCTAAACCCGGAACCCTAAATCCTAAACCCTAAACCCTGAACCCTAAGCCCTAAACCCTGAACCCTAAACCCTAAACCCTGAACCCTGAACCCTAAATCCTAAACCCTGAACCCTTGAACCAAAACCCTAAACTCGAAACCCAAAGCCCTGAACCCGAAACCCTAAACCTTAAACCCTAAACCCAATAGCTCAAGCCACCAAAACAGCGCGGCCTCGCCAGAGCTCAGGCTGGGGACCTGAAGCAAAGCAGCATCTACCTGAACCAGCTGATGGCCTTCGCCACCATCTCCAACACGACACTCTGTGGCGTTCGCGAACTCAGGGTCTTGTTTTAGGGTTCCTTAAAGAGATCTGTAAGGAGAGTTTTTTTTGGAGGTACTTCAAAGGGATCTATAAGGGCCCACACACGATGCTTGCCAGCATGTCACGGGGTTGGGGGGGGTGGCGTTTCGGCTTCATGTAGGGGCCTAAATAATTACCAATACTACTTTGGGGGTTCCTTATTATAATTGCAGTATAACGGGCCCCAGAAACCATAGTCTGATTATTAAGGCCCCTATATTACCCTAAACTCGAAACCGTAAACACAAGCCCTAAACCCGAAAACCTAAACCGTAAACCCTAAACCCTATATCACCGTACACCCGAAGCCTTTTCAGGTTTTACCTCCCGAAGCCTTCATGGGTTTCGGCTTTAGGGTTTAGGGTTTAGGGTCAGGGCTTCGAGTTTATAGGGGTTCGGGTTTCTGGTTTTAGATTGTCCGGAATTCTTGGGAGAGTGCCGAGGATCCTTGCAGCCGTTTTGCAGACCAAGACGGCGAAGGACATCAAAAGCGAAGCCGCCCGGGGCCCGGCGAGACTGCTTTGGAGCCCTTCTGGGAGCCCTTCTGGGAGCCCGTTGGGTTTAGGGTTTAGGGTTTAGGGTTTAGGGAGTTCGCATGAGATCGGGCCAAGGCGAACTTCTTTTTCAACGCTGCTGCACAGACGGCGGAGGCGGCTTCTGGACAAGGAGGTGAGCCCATCTGAGCCGTTTCGGAGTTTCGGAAGAGCTACTGCCAGTCCATATCTCTCTGCCCGAGGCTTCGCATAACAGAGCGCAAGGTTTCAGCTTAATTTTGCCCATCCGGATTTTTTCGGCACTCCTGGAACGTGTTAGCTGCCGATCTCCTCGCGTTCCAGGTCGGTTTTGTAGCGCTGGTCCAGCATCTCGCGCTGCAGGATCTTTGCACAGCGCCTCCTCGCAATGTTTGTTGTCGTACGTCGGCTACGAGAAGACGCTGCGGCTCGGTCCTGTTCGATCGGACCCTCTCTTCGACTTTTGGATTGGACGAGAGATGTGGGATGCACGGTTTGGGGCACCAGACGAGGATGGCTTTGTAGTTTTGACCCTAAACTTTAAACCTCTTACCCTTAAACCCAAATCTTATTAAACCCTAAACCCCTAAACACCTAAACCCTAAACCCTAAACCCTAAACCCTAAACCCTAAACACCTAAACCCTAAACCCTAAACCCTAAAGTAGACTGCGGCTCAGGTGGGGCGCGCATCTGCTGGATGTCGTCGCTGGGCTGCAGAGACATACCTGGGAGCTAGAAGTCGAAGTGCGACTGCGGGTTCTTTGGCTGGGTTCTTGTTAAGGAATCTGGTGTAAGTTGCCAGAATAGGGATCTAATTGAAATGAGATGGTTTCTTCATAATGGTAACGTAGTTTAACCCTTTAAGAAGAACCCAGTCTTTGGGTTTCTTCGAGCCGCAGAACAAAATCGAAGGCAATTCGGCATCTGGCCTCTGTTGGCCTGTCCGACACACTCCAAGCACTTGTTTCTTCTGACATGTGCGTGAGCTGCTGCAGCCTAAGACTATAGGAGCCTCAAGGCACAGTCGGCGCGAATCTCTGACACCTCTGAAGCCTAAACCCTAAACCCTAAACCCTAAACCCTCAACCGACAACTCTGAAGGTTGTGGCAGCCGGGCTCATGTCATCACTGTCCTTGATGAAGGACTTTCGCGCTGCCCTCATCGCAGGCCCATCTGATTATAGCCTAACCCTGAACCGTAAACCCTAAACCCTAAACCCTAAACCCTAAACCCTAAACCCTAAACCCTAAACCCTAAACCCTAAACCCTAACAGCGGCTCAAAAGTTGGAAGAATCCGTCATACATGGTGCAATGGGTTTAGGGTTAGGGTTTAGGGCTGTATCAGTGCTGTAGCATTTTTCGAAGAAGTTCCTGCTTTTCGTCACATGTAATCGATAAATCACTCCACGACGCTGCCCGAGCATTTGCCATCTACCAATTATTTTTGAGCAGGGTACTTATGAAAAAGAGGGCCTACCCAGGGAACTTAGGGGAGCCCGAACTTGGCATCAGAAGAACGCACAGCCTGCAGTTGCGATGCCTTTGCCGACACGTGTCTTGATGCGTAGCCAACAAACCGCAAACTAAACCCTAAACCCTAAGCCGTGTAAAATAGGCTGTATCCCGGGGTACTATGCAGACATTCCTGCTTTACAGCAAGATCAACCCGGGGTTGATCGGGGGAAGGGGGGGGGGTTAACACAACAGCCACACACACACACACATCTAATGAATTACGCATATATATATATATATGTACACAGGTGCATATATCCGTACATGTATCATAACGTGCATGGGAATGTTTTGTTCTCCATTCTCCTTTCAAAGTGTGAAGAGTTCTTGGACTTTGCGCCATAATGGAGGCATAAACTGCTTTCTTCCCGCCATCGCAGCCGATTTCGGGAAGTATCTGGTGTGCCGGGGACCCAGTGGCAAAGCGTCTGGGCACCAGGCGGCGCCAGCGGCCCAATATTCAAAACACCAGCCCGCAAAGCTTGAGAGCTGCGGGCTGTTAAGGGGTTCTGGAATTGTGCAAGGTGGAGGGTTTAGGGTTTAGGGTTTAGGGTTTAGGGTTTAGGGTTTAGGGTAGCATTCACAGGATTTTGGGCTTCGAGTCTATCTCTGCAGAAATCTCAGGCTACCGCCTGCAGCCAAACGACGGCCTCCGTTGCCCCTTTCTTCCTGGATTTGCCGGGCTCGCCGGTGCAACGCAGGTGAGATGCTTCGCAGTTCTCGAAACACAGCTTAGCACATGAAGAGCTGTGTGACCTACAACCTTTCCCTCGTTCTTGGAAACATGTCCCTTCTGCCCCCAAGTTCCATCCACCCTCCTTCTCAGATCCTCTACGCACTTGAATCCAAACTCCATAAAATTTTCTTGCAGCGTGCCCGCTAGCTTAGGTGAGACATGACCCGAGCCATCCACCCATTTCCGTTCTGTATTCATGCCTCTATCACTGTCACCTTTACTAGTACTGTTGCTATTGCGACTGCACTACTGAAGGCTAAGGCTACGGCCACTGCTACCACGACGACGAGGACGAGGACGCGGACGAGGAGGAAGAGTAGGACGAGGAGGAAGAGGAGGAGGAGGAGGAGGACGACCACGACCACGACCACGACTACGACGACGACGACCACGACGGCGACGACCACGACAACAACAACGACGTCGACGACGACTACCACTACGACGGCTACAACTACCACTACCACTACCACTACGACTACGACTACGACTACTTCTGATATTGTTGTGTTAGTTTCATGATTATGACTTCCCTGTGCTCTTCTTACCGATTAAAGCTCCGGACCCCGTTCACGTGGGGGTTGAAGCTCGAGGTGGCTGTGGGCCTAACTCTGTTTATGATCGCCGCTCTTTGGACATGGCCTCTTGGCCTATGGTTGCAGGGTCTTGGGGCCGTTTGGGGTTTAGGGTTTAGGGTTTAGGGTTCGGGTTTAGGGTTTAGAGTTTTGGGGTTTAGGTCTTAATTGGGCTCAAGGAGGGTTCAGGGTTGAGTTCATGATTGAGACTGTCGGTTTTGACGCGAGCAGACATAAGACCTAACCGGCACCGAGCAACTTTCGAACGTAGGCCGGAGACCCGAAACGGGAAGGTAGAGGTTTTAGGGTTTAGGGTCTAGGGTTTAGGGTTGGTTTAGGGTGTAGGGTTTAGGGTTTAGGGCTAGGGCTTTGGTCTCCGAGGCTTAGTCTCTCCAGATCCGAGGAGGCGCCGGAGGGGGAGGGGAGACGGCTTCGGGTTTGGGTTTAGGGTTTAGGGTTTAGGGTCTACGGTGACGGTTTAGGGTTTAGGGTGAAGGGTCTAGGGTGACGGTTTAGGTGACGGTTTAGGGTTGAGGGTTTAGGGTTTAGGGTTTAGGGTTTAGGGCTTAGGGCTTAGACTCTCCACCAGGGGGATCCGACGATTCACGTCGACATAAAGTTGAGGTTATACGGTATACCTTAACCCGAAATAACCTACCGTTGTACGGGCATATATAAAGAAACCATAATAAGGAACCCTGAAGAGGTCGGTTTCTTTAGGGGTCCAGGCAGGGTTTAGCGTCGAAACAGGGAAAACCTAAACCCTAAACCCTAAACCGTAAACCCTAAACCCTAAACCCTAAAGCCCTAAACCCTAAACCCTAAAGCCCTAAAAGCCAGACTACTCTCTCAGCCCGAAACCCGGAAGAGCCGACCCCAAAAACCGGCCTGTTAGAAGGATGCCCGACTCTACCCGGTTTGAGGGGTCTGGGGCTTTAGGGATTTAGAATTTAAGGTTTAGGGTTTGGGTTTAGGGTTTCGGGTTTGGGGTTTCGGGCCTGATTCCAAAGCCCCGTTTAGGGTTTAGGGTTTAGGGTTCAGTTGAGCTTCTCTGTAATTGGATCTCAAAGGCGCGAGCTTCGAAACAGACGGCTTGTCCTAAACCCGAAACCCTGATCCCAAACACTGCGAGACCAAATCAGACCTCATCAAACCCCTGTAAAACACAGCCTTGCAAGGCCTGGCGGCTTTGCAAGCTTGTTGGAGAGCCTGGAAATTCTAAAGTACTAGTAATAGTATGAATCATAGGAATGATGTCAATAATGCTCATGATAAGAATCGTAGTAATACTTGCAAGAACGGCAAACAGAGTAATAGCAGTGTTCACAGTCGTTATGGCAATTAACCCTAAACCCTAAACCCTAAACCCTAAACCCTAAACCCTAAACCCTAAATTTAAATGAACCGTGGACTTGCAGGATCCGCCACCCAGCCACGTGGTGTTCCTAACCAGCAAGTATCAGCCGCGGTATGCACTCTTTGAGACGGAGCGCTTGATCAGGAGCCAGGGAGCTTGTAAGGCTTCGGCAGACCAGATAGTGTTTAGGGTTCAGGGTTCAGGGTGTAGGGTTTAGGGTTTGGGGTTCATGGTTTAGGGTTTAGGGTTTAAGCCTTGGTGGCTTTGGCCTTTAGCTGCTTTAGCTGCTGCAGCTGCATTCGCCTACTATGGCAGTAGTAAGAAACGAAAGCCAGCCCCTCAATCTCCCGGGCCCTTCGACGGAGGACTCCAGCCTCTCAATGTCAGGGTTGAGGGTTTAGGGGTTTAGGGTATAGGGTTTCGGATGTCTAGCCTGGTTCAAAAAGGATGGAGAAGGCCACCAAAAGTCTTGGAGGGGCTCGTTTCTTGTACCCCCGGTTTGTAAACAGTGCAGTCAGTGCATACCCACAAGTCTAAGGGTTTTTGAGTTGACCCTAAACCCTAAACCCTAAACCCTAAACCCTAAACCCTAAACCCTGATGAAAAAAGATGGGGAAGGAGTCTGGGCTTCCGGTTGAGGGTTTTGTGGTGCGCATCTTATTTTCGTTTCAACGGTTTAGGGTTTAGGGTTTAGGGTTTAGGGTTTAGGGTTTAGGGTTTAGGGTTTAGGGTTTAGGGTTTAGGGGGTCTAGGGTAAAGCAAGGAAGCAAGGCAGGCCCACCCAAGTTTCGAAGGAACATCTTCGATGGAGGGAGGTTCGAAAACCTTGAAGCCTAAACTTATATAGTCCTCAGCCCAGCAACCCTGCGCCCTAGAACCTTAGCGCGCGCAAATGGCAAAATCCATCTTAAGACTAGCCTACGAATCTAAGCTTACATTGGCGAAAGTCTTTGGCCCCAGAGCTTTGGGAAGGAAGACGCTCTTCACATTCATCGGCGCCTTGCTTCCCATCTCCTCCTCGCCAGCCTTGCAGATGGGATGCCTAGGCGAGGAGAGTAGCTAAACCCTAAACCCTAAACCCTAAACCCCAAACCCTAAACCCCAAACCCTAAACCCAGTAAAAGCTCCAAATCACGATCCCAGGAGAGGATTTCTTAGCCCTGATCCCAAAATGTGTGGAGACTAGGGTTTAGGGTTTAGGGTTCAGGGTTTAGGGTTTAGGGTATAGGGTTCAGTGCTACCGGTCATCGTTTCCGGCAGTGTGCGCGGATGTTGAACCTATGTAGCGGTTACACAAGCACCTGCTGGTGACTGTTGATACTCCAAGCTTATATAGGGGCCTTACTAATTAGAATAGGGTTTTGGGGCCCACTATATTAGAATTGTAACAAGGACCTCCCCCTCCACCCCCAAGAAAAGAAACAAATGTGTTGATAATTCTTTAGGCACTACAGTAGTCAGTCCACGGAGTCTTTGTTCATGGAGGCTTTCCCGGTTCTGGAGCTGCAGGATTGCTCAAAAAAACCAAGCTGAAACCCCGCAGCACCAAAAAAAAACTCAGAGCACCTAAAAAACGCACCCTAAACCCTACCTAAACCCTAAACCCCTGAACCCCCCAATCCCCGAAGGGGTGGTTATGGTGCAGAAGACAGGCCTTAGGGAAAAAGCAGAGAGAGGAACATGGATCCCCGGTTTAGGGTTTAGGGTTTTAGGGTCTAGTGTTTAGTGTTTTGGGGTTTAGGATTTAGGGGTTTAGGGTTTTAGGGTTTTTAGGGTCTAGGGTTTAGGATTCAGGGCTTTGGGTTTAGGGTTTAGGGTTTAAGGGTTGAGGGGTTTTAGGGTTTTAGGGTTTAGGGTTTAGGGTTCAGGGCTCTTGATATTTGATAATCTGCAAAAGTTTTGCTCGACCTTGTGGTCGTTGAGGCCCCAGCGTTCCTTGTTAGTACAAAGAAGCGGTGTAACATACCCCAAAGACCCTTGTTCTAAGTACTGAGGCCCCCATGGTAGATTTTTCGGAGCCGTGGGGCTTCGATTATCGAGGACATGCAGATTCCCAAGCCGATCTCCTCGAAGCGTCTCTTAACTTTGTCCAGGCATGGTGGTTTGGGTGTCGCTGTTTGTGTACTTCCTGTACCAGCCTTACCACACGCCGGAGTGGAACTGGAGCGACGTGTATGCGCTGGATCTTGCCATTGTTGACGTTATTCGCGTTGGGTGAAGAGCATTTCGGGGTGAGGTTGCCGCGTTGTGGTTTCTGAATTTTGGCGGGAGACTTGAGGTATGGACGCCTCACACTCACCGCGAAACGAAAAACCCAGAATAGTTGGCATTCTGCTTGGCACCTTCGGGCGCGCTACGTCTCGAAACTAGTCTAAATGCCAGACCATACTATACTCCGCTATACTGTTACTGAACTATATACTATATACTATACACTAGATACAAGATACTTTAATTATACAATGTATGAAGAATTATATACTCTATACACTATACCCTATTCTCGGTACTCGATACTCGGTACTCGATTCTACTGTACTCCATACTCTGTACCCTGGACTCTATACTGTATGTTCTATACTCGATACTCAATACCAGTACCATACTGTTACATTACTATACACTGTACTATACTGTACTATACCATACAATGCCGTACTATGCTACATTATGCTATTATACTATGCAGGATCGAAATCTGCTTGCTCCTCGTGGCGATGCTCATGATCTTGAGCGTGTCAACTTTGCCAGCCGGCCAGAGCTAAGATCGAGTCCTGCATGGTCACCATCATTATTCCGTAATATAGGGGCCTTCATAATTAGAATCGGGTTTTGGGGCCCGTTATACTATGGTTATAATAACGAGGAGCCCCCAAAATAGTACTGGTAACTATTTAGCCCCTACATTACCCTAAACCCTAAACCCTAAACCCAAAAATGGTATTGGTAATTATCTAGGCCCCTACATGAGTCGGATGTAGGGTTCGAAGACCTTGCACCCCAACGCTTTACAGCCTTCGTCCGAATCGGAGCTTTGTCTTTGGGGTTTAGGGTTTAGGGTTTAGGGCTTACGGGAGGAACACCCCCCCCCACCTTTCCACATCCCTTTCGGGAGTACAGAAATCGACCATTCTGTTTCGAGTGGCGCGTCCTTTCATAGGTGAAGCCCTGAATCCTAAACCCCTCAAAAAAACCCTCGAGGTCACCTCTTCTCCAGCCGCAAGCTAACACCCTAAATTCCTAGGGGTCTGGGGTTTAGGGTTTACGGTTTGGGGTTTGAGGTTTACGTCCAGGGCGAGCTGCTTTATTGGTGTTGCCCGAGGCTGATATTCTATGTCTCAAGCGGGTTTGGGGTTTAGGGCAGGTCGCGGCTGCCCTGCTTCACTTGGGAAAGACATCAGATGCGCATAGCCCTTCACCTAAACCCTGAATTCCAAGTCCAAGTCCCGAACCCAACATGTCGAACCAGAGATGACTTTCTGGAACCGTAAACCCCTAAACCCTAAGCCCTAAACCGCTAAACCCTCAGAAACTTAGCCAGTTAAAGTGAAGGGGTTCAGGGCTTGGAACCGGTAGGAAGAAGCACGCCAGCATGCTCCATCAGGCTTAGAAAGCAAAGCATAGGGGCTCCTAGCAACCCTAAACCCTAAACCTTCGACCCTAACCCTAGACCCCGAATACGTGTTCCAGCTTTGTGGCATCCGTTTTAGACATAGATGGAGGTTCAGCGTGTGCTAGATCCAGCGTGAGGCTTACTTTAGCATTTTTGGTTTAAGGTTGCATCTAGCCACCGAGACATATCAAGATGATTGCTAAGGCTAAGTGTAAGTTTTGTTGTTGTCGTCGTCGTGGTTGTGTTCGTGGTTGTGGTGATTGTTGTTCGTTGTCGGCTGTTGGCTGTTGGTTGTGTTTGCTCTTCGTATGTTGTTTGTTGTTAGTCTTGTCCGTTCTTCATCGTTTTTGTTGTTTGTTGCTTGTTATTAGTTGTTGGTTGTTGGTTGCTCGTTCTTCGTTGTTTGTGGTAAGTTGTGCATTTTTTTCTGCTGCTGCTGCTGCTGCCGCTGGTGCTGCTGCTGCTGGGTTTGCTGTTTCGGTTTCCGTTGCCGTTGTTAGTGTTGCTGTCGCTGTTGTGTTTTTTTTTTGTCGGTTGTTGTTTGTGGTGGGGTGACGGTGGCGGCGGTGGTGGTGGTGATGTTGCCCCTGCTGTAGCTAGCTTTCACCATTCGGGCTCGACCCACACAGCAGCAAAGCTGAAAACAATGAATGTGTGGAAGATATCCGAGGCTCGCAAATGAGTTCCACTGGGGGCATTCAGTGCCCACTCAGCAGTCGATCATCTTCGCAACTGCTGCTGTCGCGGCTGTGGCCAGCCACTTCCGCTCAAGTGATTCTCTGTTGTGCTGGGGCCAGTTCATGTTGCTGTTGTGGTTTTCTGCTGTTCCTGTTGTTGTTGATGATGGTGATGCAGTGGGATGGTGCTGATGTTGACGATGGCGACGGCGATAATGATGACCGTACATGACCATGATGGCGAGGATGGGGATCTCGGGGATGATAGTAATGATTAGTAATGCTGAGGATGGTGACATTGTTGTTGCTGCTGATGATGGTGGTGACAGCCCAAATGCGGCTGATCATGGCGATGGTGGTGGCAGCAGTGATGATAATTAGTGTTGTTGATTGCGAACATGACGATGATGACCATGACAACGAGGATGATATCGTCATCAGCAATATGATGCAGCAGGAGCAGCAGCAGCAGTAACATCAATAGCAACTGCAGCAACACCCACAGCCACCGGACATTTAAGCCTACACCCACACCCATACCCGCGCCCACACCCACACCCGCACCCACACCAACACCAACACCAACACCCACACCCACACCAAGACCAACACCAGCACCCACTCCAACTCCAACACCAACAACGACACCACAACCGCCGGCGACGACAACGGCAGCATCCTCAAACAGAAGACCAGGCTAACATTTCTACGAAGAATATAATAATAACCGCTGCGGCAGCGGTTGTGACGATAAACCCTGTGGGTGTGATGTCCATGGACTCCTTGAGTAGCTGGTGGCATAAACCCTCTCAAAGGTTCGTTTGCATACGTTGCTTATGTTCAGCGTGGGGTGCAGTCTTGGTCGGGGGCTTCGCTTGCTGACCGCCCGAACTCCAGTAAGAAGTCGCATTTTCGTTTCTAGGCCCGAAATCGGACCCTAAACTCCCTAAACCAAACCCTAAACCCTAAACCCTAAACCCTAAACCCTAAACCCGTCCAGAATACCTCAAACCAGCTCTGGTCCCCAGGTGTCATCATGATTTTCAGAGTGATGAAAGAACTGGTCCGAGAGCAGAGGCAGGACCAAACTCTTCATTTCTTTGCTGCAGTTGGTTTAGTGTCTAGGGGTTTCGGGCTTTGGGGTTTAGGGTTTAGGGTTTTTAGGGTTTGGAGGTTTGGGGCTTTGGGGGTTTGGGGTTGAGGGTCTGGGGAAGTTTAGGGTTTAGGGTTTGTTTGCTGTTCAGTTGTGCTTTGATTTCAGAGTTTCGCGTCACGTCGGATCGGGTGGTAAGTGCGCCAAGCAGCATTAGCGTGCGCTTGTTCTGTCTTTGGTTTCTTCCAAATTGCAACGTCATGCCTTTTTGCAGCTGGGACGAGGTGGCTGACCGCGAAAGACAGCAGTACCAGCTGACATCTTTTGACCCAACGTGTTTTAATAGCATCTGCGGTGACATGATGCTTGAGTTTGGATCTTGTGCCAGTCTGCAGTTGCATACGCATGTAGGAGGGCACGCAGACACACGACGCACTTTGTTGCAGGCAAGCAGCCAAGTGAGTTTTGCGCTCCGCAGTCTCGACTGCCTTGCCCTTTCCATGACATCGAAACAGTTCGCAGCAACGTGTTGTCCTTCGCTTACTGAAGCAATTACGGAGGCGATTTCTTATGGAGCCCTAAACCCTAAACCCTAAACACTAAACCTAAACCGCGAAAAGCATGGGGTCCCCCCAAAGAAGAGCCTACGCGGTGGTCGGATCAAGGCCATTTCAGAGGTAGGAACCCATGGGTTTGACATCATTTTTCTCATGCCCTCAGTCGAGTTTCACGGATCCCAGCACCAATCTTCCTGCACCCATGTTCCAACTTTTTGGGGTTCGCTGTGGTGAGGTTGGGTTAGGTTAGCGAATGGAATATTGTGTGGTGTTTTGTTATGTGCGCATGCATGGTTTGTCTGTGTTTGCATTTGTACACACGCTTTTTCTTCTTGTTGCTAGTAACCACATCTATCCTGTTTGCAAACGCGTTGCTTGGGCATAGGCAACCCTAAACCCTAAACCCTAAACCCTACACCCAAAACCGTGCAATGACGAAATACGCCGACATGTACTTGTGGGCCGGCCTCTGTGGTCACGGCATTTGTTACTGAATATGGGTAGTTCTCTAAATGAGGGTCCGTTTTTAGGGTCCTCTTTATAATGGTGCCGTATTATTTTGGGGACCTAAAAGGGGCCCTGATTTAGAGAACTCTTTTGAAAAGGTTGGAGATTCCGGTGCGTGCCAGCGCGGCAGTGACTTACGGAATTATTGACAAGTTTAGGGTTTAGGGTTTAGGGTTTAGGGTTTAGGGTTTAGGGTTTAGGGAGAGCATCTATTATTGAAAGGGTTGAGCCTCCCCGAATTTTGGATGTTGAAGGTGCTATGTGTATGCAGTCTTGATTGCATGGTGGATGTTCGACAAAACTGGCTTTTGTGATGTCTCAAGACGAATCATCAAGTGATTCGACATGAAGCCAATCGTGCTTCTTTTTGTGGCTGGTTTGCCACAATTTGCCTTCGCCAGACAAGCTGGCAAGCCTGAATGCCCATGCATCAGCAGCAGCTCCAGTGGTTATGAGAGTTTGCAACGCAATCTGGCTGCCACAGGATTCCCAAGCGACTATGGCATGCAGGGATGCCGAGCTTATGATCAGGGTGCAAGTCATCCTGGCATCGATTGCTCTGGCAATGCCCACGACTATTGCCAAAATCAGTGGTGCTACGTGGACACCAGCCTTTGCCCCATGAAACGAGAACTTCGCATCTGCAAATCAGGTTGTTCTAAGATGTTAGGTTGAACTTACGTCTAGCCGTTTAAACGGTTCCACAGTCGCACCAACCGTGCCACCCATAGATGGGTGAAGATGTAAGGAAGAATGTGCAGCAGCCGGAAAGAAATTGGGCAGCGCTGAGTCGCCTTTCTGCCGGGCACGACCCCATGTCCAGTCGGCGGTTGTCAGCGGCCATTGGAGCTACTTGGAAGTTCTGAGTACTTTTGTGCTCTTTGTAGGATTTTTTAAGAGTGTTGGATTTAGCATCCTATCCGTGTAGAGGGTTTGGGAATTGCCGACTGTTAGCAATCACTATTCCCGTTGGCTGCGCTTGTCTACAAAGCTAAAAGTTGGAGTGCTTTCTACATTTCGTTGGGCCCACATGTCTGGAAAGCCAAGGCTACGAAACGTGTGGATTCCTCAATACCTACAACAGGACAGGAGTAATTCAAGCACCAGTGGCGAATACAGTCCTCAAGATAGCGGTGCATGAGTGGGAGCCCTGGATGCAATATGTGACTGGTTTATGCATCGTCCTACAGAAAAGGCATCAGCAAGGGTATGCAATTACAGCACACAGTCGCATCACAGTTTGAGCATTAGATGGCGAAATGCGTCAGCGGCGGTGTTTCCACGTGCGCCACCATGTAAAATCGTAGGCTCCGCACTACTACCATCCTTGCTTGATGTAGAAGATTTTATATTGCCCGACGAAGTCGTTCCAAAGCCCACCTATAGTCTCCATTGCAGTTCCTTTTGGGGGATACCTTATAAACTCCATAATATATAATTGGTTAAACCAAAAAAAGGAACTACAATGGAGACTACAGGTATGAATCCCTAAACCCTAAACCCTAAACCCTAAACCCTAAACCCTAAACCCTAAACCCTAAACCCTAAACCCTAAACCCTAAACCCTAAGTGATGCTGCACAGGCCCCCTTTCTTTTCAAGTCTTCGGATTCGAAGCATTCCTATGCTGGACCGACTTTCGGCTTCTTCAGGAAGTGCATGGAGGAGCCCGAGCAGCCTGCAGCTAGATTGTGCTTAGGGTTTAGGGCTTAAGGGTTTAGGGTTGTAGGGTTTAAGGGTTTAAGGATTTAGGGTTTTAGGGTTTAAGGGTTTAAGGGTTTGAGGGTTTAACCCTAAACCCTAAACCCTAAACCCTAAACCCTAAACCCTAAACCCTAAACCCTAAACCCTAAACCCTAAACCCTAAACCCTAAACCCTTAAGGGTCCAGGATGGGGGCCGAAACACCGAACTCCTTAAGCCGAGCTCTCTGGAGGAGTTCGTGCCAGAACCCGAGATACAGGTGGTTGACGTGCCTGCCATGGCAGAATCCTTGGCCAGGTACGATAGCCCCTAAACCCTAAACCCTAAACCCTAAACCCTAAACCCTAAACCCTAAACCCTAAACCCTAAACCCTAGACCCTAAACCCTAAACCCTAAACCCTAAACCCTAAAACAGGTTCGATAGCATCTACACAGCCTGTGTTCACGACGTCGCCATTGGAAACCTGGACCTTTGTGTTTCAGATCCTTAGTAGCTGAGTGAGTAGACTTTACACTTTTTGGATTTAGGGTTTAGGGTTTAGGGTTTATGAACTCAGCAACTAAGGATATGTGGGTTCTACCAGATCGCGTGCTTCTGGTTGAGTTTCTGCCAGCATCGAGACACGATCACTTTTACCTGGTGGTCCGAAACATGGCAAGACACGTTAGCCTGTATGATCGGCTTACAACGCCTTTCTCCCCATTTACACTTCAGGGGTGGATGACCGTGCTTGCCTACCTCACCGCCGTGTCCACGTTTCTTTGGCTTGCCCTCCTTTGCAAGATGCAAGGACAGTACGACGAGTTCTTGGAGGAGAAGGTAGAGTGGGCAAACTTGGACATGGAAGATGCATTCGCAAAATTGGAGAATGCAAGAGAGGAGTTGGAAAAAGCACGCTTGGAGCCACGAAACGCAGAAGCCCTTGCCAAAGCAGAAAGCGCGGTAAAAGAGGCAGCTTTGAATCATGCCAAGAAGCAAAGACACGAGGAAGAGCTGGAAGCTGGGTTGAAAGCTAATAAGAAATTGAAGTTGCTTCAGTGGTCTAACCTTTGTCAATGTGCAAGCTTGCGGCAGAATCTGCACTTGCTTGCGGGTACCTGGTACGATGTTTGGGCGCACTTTCTTGGACAAGACATGATCTATGAAGGCGACAAGGTACCGGGAGCCTTCAAGATGTTCTCCTTGGCCTTTGCTTTCTTCAGCATCGTTACACTGGCAACCTACACAGCGAGTCTCGCAAGTATGCTTGTTGCGGAGAGGCAGCTGGTTGGCGAAATCAGCAGCATTGAGGATGCCATTGCCAGACAGTACACGCTCTGTGTACCTGATGTGCTGCGTAAGTCTGTCCAAAATACATATGGGGAGTTGAGGATCTTTTCCTGCAAAGAGATTCAGCTCTGCCCCCGCGAGATGCAGCTGGGGAACTGTCAAGCGATGATTGTGTCGGAGGAGGTGATATCAAGAATGCACGCAGGCTGGATCTTTGAATCAGACTGCAAGCAAAATAAGACCTTCTGTGAGGACTCTGAGGGGAATCCTCGCAATGACTGCAGCCTCATCGCAACTGGAAATGTTCTCACAAGTGTGCCAATTGCATTCCCGGCCAGCGACAGGCTCGTAAAGAGCTTGTCATGGGCATCCGCCTCCCAGCATGCGAAGGGGACGATGCAAACCGAGTTGCGGGCTCACTCTCACGAGTTTCCGAAGTCAATCTGCGATGCGCCGACCCAGCAAAGAACTCTCGCTCTTGGTGCCGAGGACCTCAGTGGCATCGTCATCATATCTGGCTTCTTTTCTGGATTGGCACTCGTGCGCTTTCTTTGTACACAGTACTACGTCCACAAGGAGAAGCAGAAGAGCAGAGAGAAGATTCTGCAGGACAGGGAATACAGAAGGATGGGCGCGCAAACTCTTGGGAGTTCGTCACGCCGGATGCAAATCGTTGTAAAGGAATCCGAGTGAGGGGTCTCGACTCCAAAGGAGTTGGAGGGATGGCCTGCAATTTATTTGCCTTGTCTTCAGTGCACGATGGAGACAGCAGCGCATTCAAGATGGCTGTGCACTCCCGTTTTCAAGCCGCAAGGACCTTTTGCCAGCAACCTGGAATGGTGTTCGAGGGCCGAACATGAAACGGGGCCCTTCTTTGCGCTTTGAGATGATTTGTGTAGCTTTGACACGTAATTTCGACTACAATCTGGGTTTAGGGTTTAGGGTTTAGGGGTTTAGGGTTTAGGGTTTAGGGTTTAGGGGGTTAGGGTTTAGGGACGTAATTTGGGTGTGGCTGCCAAAGCCTCCGGAATACCGGGGATCTTGGTCGTGGCGCCTGGGTTCTGGGGTGCGGCGGGGCAGTTGAGGGCCGTGAATCCCGGAAGTCGAAATGCCGGTGTTGTTCAGGGTTTAGGGTTTAGGGTTTAAGGTTTAGGGTTTAGGGTTTAGGGTTTAGGGTTTAGGGTTTAGGGTTTAGGGTTATGTGTTGGAAGGACATTTCGGGGAGCGCACCGATGTCTTGAGGGCCATCCAGAAACTGCCTTCCTCTTCCAAGTTGCCGCTTCTTAAAAGGCTCGAGCTTTCGTTCTGTCGCAGCCACCGGGTTATGCTCAGAGACTGGCGCGGTTGCCTGCTCAGTCTCTGGCTTTGGCTGGATGCTCCATGCTTGGATGGAAAGCTTGCAAGGGAAACGCTGGAACTGGGCCTTACCACCGTCGCCTGGCAATCAGACGTGCAAGAAAATTTCAGAGTGCAAGGAGGCGGCAGTCTTGCAGACCTGCGACATCAACACCAAAAAAACTCAAAAAGACTGGCCGACGGGCCCCCGAAGTGAGCTGCAATTGCAACAAGCACAAGCAAGATTGCCAGCAGTAGCAGCAATATCAGCAATACGAGCGGCGAAGACGAGCACGTCCATCGTCACCGTCACCGCCAAGAGCAACACTTTCAGCACCATGCACCAACAACAACTGCAAGAGTGGTGATATATACATAAGAGAATGCACTACGAGCAGACGTGGCAGCAAGTGGGTGACCAAACGTATAAACGGCACTACAGCATTTACTGGACTTACGTTCCTAGTAAAAAGCAAAGCAGCAGCAACACTGCCATACGTAGCATAGGTTGATAGCAGTATGTTCGGCAACAGCGGAACGAAAAACACATCAGAGTACCAGCGAACACTGGGTGGCGGTAACATCATAATCGTCGCATGTCGTCGCATGATTTCGCTTGCAACAAGGGTGCAACGGTGGCAACAGGATGAGCCCCGAGCTGCAAGGTGAAGTTCAAGGAGGACATCATTGATCTCTTCGCCTCGAAGAAGTATGCAACCAGAGCTGCAATGGACATAGGTGCCGGAAGGGGCTCAACAACTGCTGCGTTGGCTGTCAACTTCGCCGTCGTTGTGGCCATCGAGAAATATTGGGACCTGGCAGATGAACTTGGATGCTGCCACTTGGAGTCGAACCAGCTGCTCAGAAAGGACGGAAGTGAAATCACCAACATTGTGCGGCTTCACATGGACACTCTGCTTCCGTTTGCCTTCGCGAGCCTGGTTGATCAGAATTTTTCAGCAGTGGTCATCGATGCCCAGCACGATTTCGAAAGCATCGCACGTGAGACTTTCCATGTCTTGCGCGACATCCCGTGCTGTGTGGAAACCATCGTATATCACGACTATTGTTTCGAAGAGGTGTTCCAGACACTTCTGTGGTTCGAGCTCTCCGGGCTGCTCACTTTTCAGAAGTTGCCAGGTGGCAATTTTGCTGGCTTTTTCAACCACAACTCAGGTCCCTCAACCCTCAGCCCCCAAACCCTCAACTACCCTCAACCCAGGTTCCCTAAACCCTAAACCCTAAACTTTCCCTAAACCCTAAACCCTCAGCCCCAAACCCTCAACTACCCTCAACCCAGGTTCATGGGGGAGCCTTCGAACTCCCCCATGTGCAAAAGCGCCGGCGAGAATCTCGAGAGAGCTGAAGGGGTCGCCATGAAGGTGAGTCGAAGGCCTCTGAAGGACCCGGTTTAGGGTTTAGGGTTTAGGGTTTAGGGTTTAGGGTTTAAGGTTGTCGAGTTTTTTCATTGCTCCCGTCACTACTATCTTTTTTTGTTCGGGGCTGCTTTGTACCAGCAGATTCCTATTCCTATTTTGGCATTGGTCGTGCTGCTACAGTTTGCTACTGATACTACTCTGTTCAATGCTGTTGGTCCTGTCCCTAGCATTAATGGTTGAGGTTATTGTATCGGTACAGCGGCAACCTTAAATCCTAGAAGCTGAAGGATGCTAGAGCACTTTTGGACCGTCGTGTTGTGACTAAGATCCTCAGCAATAGACCCGAACCCTTTGGCCAAAACACGGTTTAGGAATTTAGGGTTTCGAAGTTCCTAGACTTAAACCTTGCCTTAAAGCTTCAGGACCCCAATGAGGCGTGTGACACCCCCCCCAACATTGCAAAAATCCTTGGTGGATTTTGCAAGGACTTCCACGAAAAGGTGGAGGAAGCATTTCGAGGCTCCTTCGCGCGCGGCGAGTCCCTGGAGAAAAGGAACCTGGCCAAGAATTAAGGTTTAGGGTTTAGGGTTTGTGTTTACCGTTTCAGGCTTTTACAGGCGTTGCAAGAGGGTGGCGCAGGGGCTCTAGACTCTAGAGGGTATTCGAAGTTGATGAGGGTTTTTGGAATTGTTAAACACGAAACCCTGGCTAAAGGATGGCGGCTTTAGCACTTTGGGCCTGGAGACCGGGGCTATTGGTTTCGGTTTCGAAGTCGGGAGTTTCAGGAAAGATATGACAAGAGGGCCCTGAATGAGAGCCTATAATAAGATCCTCATCGACCCCATATGGCCCTAAACCCTAAACCCTAAACCCTAAAGGCCCTAAACCCTAAACCCCAAACCCTAAACCCTAAACCCTAAACCCTAAACTCCAAACCCTAAAGGCCCTAAACCCTAAACTCCAAACCCTAAACCCAAAACCCCTAAACTCTAAACCCTGAGCCATGAGCTGCCCCCACTCCCGGAACCCTAAACCCCCAAACTCTTCCGGTTTAGGGTTTTGGGTGTTTCGGGTTTCGGGTTCAGGGGTTTAGGGTTTAAGGTTTGGGGTTTAGGGTTTAGGGTTTAGGGGTTTAAGTGAGCCCTTGACAGGCTAAATAGAACCCAGTGGCTCCTCTTCTCGCCGCATTCGTCGATCGGCATTCTGACCATGCATTCCTGGCCACGGCTTTCGCATCTTAGCTTTCTCCGGAGGCTAGACTTTTGAGAGCTTGTCTGGGCTTGGGTTTCAAGGTTAACGGGGATATTTAGGGTTTAATGTAAGGGGATCCACGGATAGAATAGAACAACCAGGAGATAACAACACGAGTGACAGTGAGAAAGAGGCCTAGTAACGACATTAAAGGCTTCGTTCTGCTCTGAAGGGGTGGCAAACAAGGGTGATCCTTACTCTTATACTGGCAGTCTTTGGGATCACTGTATTCCGCAGGACTAACTTGTTACGCTGCTGTTGTGCACTTCACTACTTCATGGCTCTTGTCTTACATGAATAATTCTGTTCTTCTTCTTCTTCATATTGCTCCCGGACGTGTTGGAGCAGCTTTCGTCCATGACTCCTGTTTCTCACAGGCCTCAGCTGGCGTTCAAGCACTTTCCTGCGACTCGGGATCGTCCTGGCGGCACGAAGCTCTTCTTTCTGACCTACCCAGAGTGGGATGCTTCTCACAGGCCATCTCTGGTCGTCTACTCCCTGCAGAAAAGCAGGCCATGGGCCCTTCTAGGCGCGGCCTAAAATCCGAAGTTGGGGCCCCCTAAGCCTCACGGAGTCAGTTCCTTAAGATCCTATATATGGGCAGTTCTCTAAAGTAGGGTCCCTTTCAGGGTCCTTTTTATAAGGGTGCCGTAGCATTTTTCAGAATTTTAAAGAGGCCCTAATTTCGAGAACTGTCCATATGATTGGCAGTCCAAAGCCGCAGGCGAACTCTCAAGGTTTAGGGTTTAGGGTTTAAGGTTTAGGGGCTTCCTAAGTGTGGCATGCAGAAGTGGCGAGGCGTTGGAACCCCTTGCATTGAGACTTTGAACAGCATCCGGCCCTGTTGAGGGCTGGGGAAAGGTGTGGCATTTTTGTGTACATCTTCTTAGGTTCTAGGGTTTAGGGTTCCCTAAACCCTAAACCCTAAACCTTTAGGGTTTATCCTCGCCCCTAAACTCTGAACTCTAAGCCGCAAACTTAACGCCCGGATCCTGCAACGCGCATCTCAAACTCGAGAGGAATCAACCCAAAACCCAAAACCCAAAACCCAAAACCCAAAACCCTAAACCCTAAACCCTAAACCCTAAACCCTAAACCCAAGGATCCCTAACGCCAACCCAAGGATCCCTAGGAGCAATATTGGGGACCCGATCGTGCGAGTAGCGTCTCGGGGTATCTAATTTTTTAGATGGTTTAGGGTTTAGGGTTTAGGGTTTAGGGTTTAGGGTTTCGGGGTATATATATATATATATGTATATTTTATGAATATTTTTTGTCGGGGCTTTGAGGGGATGCAGTATGACACAGGCGTGATGGACCGCGAGTTGCGGCTGCTGCGAATAGTTCTGCCGGAGGATCATCCGATGCGCGAGGAGGGCGCCGGCGGGCTTTTAATTCCCCCGTTGGGTTTGGGGCGTAGGGTTTTAGGGTTTAGGGTTCCCCGATTCTTAGGAACTCAAGAAACCCTAAACCCTAAACCCTAAACTGTTCTTATGCAGACACGGAAGCTTGAACGAGGCTCCTTCGAGAGAGAACCCAGGTTCTAGGCGCTAGGTTGCAGGGTTTTCCTTGCTCTTTGCTTCGACCTTTGGTTGTCGGGTTTTTGGTTTAAGGGTTTAGGGTTTAGGGTTTAAGGGTTAAGGGTTAAGGGTTCAGGGCTGAGGGTTCGAGGGTTCAGGGTTTAAGGGTTTGAAGTTCACGGTTTAGGGTTTAGGATTTTAGAGTTCCGGGT